ATAATAATGGTGTTGGTACAAAATATATAATACGTGATTGTATAGTAATAAAAATATAGATTTTAAGGGGGAGCTGGTTATACTGCTAATTATCATTAGAAAGTTCGAGTGTTGAAATACTAAACCAAATTATTTTAACCAATACTTTGCAATTTTATTAGATTTTCTTAGAAACTTGAATATAGAGGTTTACCTCGACCTATGTTTTCAATAGAATTTACTATTGATTCATAAGTTTATACATCTAGTGGATAAATTCTCATAAGCAAATCTATATAAAACATAGAATTATATATAAATTGTAATTGTATCAATGGTAAAAAAATAATAAGTAAATTTTTTAAATGTGAAAATTGTCCTATAAACAAAAATAGTTATTAATTTTAACATTCTTGTTATGGTGCAATTAATTTATTATTTATTAATGCAAGATTTATTATATAAACAAATGCTATTTAATAATTATAAATTGATATCACTCCTCAAAGTTGTAAAATTACATAATTAATATTCAATTAATAAATATAAACTTTTGTAATTGTAGATATATAAATGATTGATAATTGAGAATAAATTAATGAATGATTTAAATGATAATATATATTTCCTATTTTCAAATGCCATTATTTTCTAGATATTTATATAGATAAATTAAATCAAAAATATCAATAGTATTAAAACCATAGTCTTATCTATATCAATGTTTAATAAAGGTTGCAATGCTTTTTGGAAAATATTAAGAATCTATATATTACAAAAGATAGTTATTATCTATAATATTTTTATATTATTTTTAATTATATAAATAAAGTGAGTTGCTTGTTACAAAAACCATTTTTATAAATCAAATTCTAATATTAAATTTCATAAATAAGGAGTATAAATAATAGTAAATAATATAAATATCGTTGTCGGCCATACTAAGCCTAAAGCACCGGATCCCATTCGAACTCCGAAGTTAAGCGGCTTAAGGCGAGGTTAGTACTAAGGTGGGGGACCGCTTGGGAAGTCCTCGTGTTGACAACCCTTTTTTTAATAATTATTATTAATATTACAACATATACTCAATCTTAGATGAATATATCAAATTGATTTACAAGTATTAATTTATTTAAAAATCATTGTTAAAAGGGTTACATAAAATAATTTTAAGTATTATAAATGATAATTTTAATAAAAATAATAGGAAAATTGAATTCAAGCCTTAAATCAATAATTTAATTTCAATAATAAATAATCATTTTGATAAATAGAGAATCTATTACTATTCTTTTCAATCATCTCTTCCAAGTATTCACGTCTAGGTAAATCTTTAATCCTCATTAATATATCACTATCATCAAGTTAGGAAAGGAGATCATATTCAAAATCATCAATGTCATTTAAATTCTATAATGAAAATCTTGAGTAATTCATTATAATGTCATCTGCTAATTTTTATTATTCACTTCGACCATCATAAGGTAAACAGTGTTGTAAAATTTATTAAATATCTTCTTAATCAGCAACAAAATTATTTTAATAATCTTTGATTTTAGTAAAAATACAAATTTAGGAAGCATAACCATTTGAAAGATCACCAGATTTGTGTTGACCCACTCCTTCATAGATAGTTGAATAATGATATTTTGAAGCAACAGCAGTAGTCCATTCTAAGAATTCTTATTAAGAGAATTCAAATTTATGATCTGGATGTCTTAGTACAAACTTAGGATTAAGTTATTTAAAATAGACATTGAAATCAGAATTTGGAGTTGTAATTATAATTCTTTAAGGATTTAAATATCCAAATACATTTTCACATAAATCATCTAATTATTCTAATTGTAAATGTTCTACTACTTCTATTAATGTGATTAACTATGAATAAGATAGAAATAATTACTTCAAAATTCATTTATTTTAATTGTTTATATTTCTTTAAAGCATTCCCATGAAACAATTTAATCCAACATTCTGTTTTTCTATTTGACCTTAAACAATCTTAAATTTAATCATAAACTATGTTATCACTTCAAATAGAATTGAAATATACCTAGCTTCTTTAAGAACTTCAAGATCAATATCTAATCCAGCAATGAAATTGAAATCTAAAGAATGAGCTAATCTTTAAATAAATTTGCCATCATTGCATCCAATATCTAATGTTCGTTCCTTTTCTATATATTTATCTAACTGTTAATGCCTTCTTTCCCATAGTCTCATTCCCATATTGTCATAAAAAATATCATTTTCATAAGCTTTAATTTCCATTACTCCACTATTTAGTTAAGTTTATTTTAATAATAATTCCTGTAATTTATTATCTATAAATTTATAAATAAATTATTAAATTGAAAAAACAATACTCAATAAGTTGGAACCAAATTTATCATTGTAATAATAAGAAGTAAAATAAAAATATTTATATTTCTTATTATAGTAATAAAATGCTAAAAAATGTTTATATTAATCAATAAAAAGGCATTAATACTCCATAATATGCAGCCAATGTTCCACTCAATACTTAATCCTTCTTTAAATTAAACTATTTAATAATATTATAAATATACTCTTCCTTATTGAATTTATTTTAATACATTTAGTAATAAAAATGTGTATGGCAATAAAATTACTAAACAAATTAGTGTTTTATTTTCAATAATAGCAAAAGGTAAGACACACAAGAATTCACAAACAAAAACCTCTATCAAATTTAAAATGTTAAAAATTACTATAAAATCTGAATTTCTTAGTTTCTATTAAAATATACATTAATAAAATTATGGTAACAATTAAATTAGCAAATAATGGAAGAAACATAAATAATCCAGCAATAAAAGTACCTAAAATTTATTAAGATAATTATTTACTGGGTACATCACTACCAGGAGTGGTAGAAAAATAAGCTATGAGAAAAAAAAACGTTAATGTATATGCAATGATAGATCCAAAATAAATTACAAGTGTCAATCCTGACTAATTTATATATTCTGATTTTTTACATATCTAAATTTTTCCATTGAACCTATTTTTACCAATAAAATTAAAGCAATAACACACAAAGTTATCCATAAAGGATACTCATTTTTATGTTTATATAATTCTCTTTCGAACATCACCATCATTATAAAAAAGAGTAAAACGAATAAAAATGACCAAATTACAAACATTCCCAAAATACTGCTAAAAAAAAACTTTTAAGTTAAGAAATCTGCATCTTTCAATAATAAAGAATTAGTTGGTTAAGGTGGTTAAGGTGGTTAATCGAGTTAATAATAGTTTTAATACTTATTAGCTTATTCTGAATAAGGATGTACTACTTATTAATAATTTTGTGAATTTTAAGTCTGTTATTCTATAATTGGTAAATATCTAATATCCTCTGTAGTATTCTAAAATAATTAATGCTATAAATTATCCTATTAATTCGAAGATTGAATATCAAATTATGGATATTTAACTTATTACATTATTTTTTAAAGAAAATATACAAATTCATAGTTAACAATTTTTTGATCATAATTCACACAATGTAGAATGTTTTCTATACAGATTTCTTATTATTTATAATTTATTTGAGATATATAATTAAATTAAATCATGCTTTGCCTTAAGTAAAAATTTTGACAAATTCTTCAAAGCTAAACTTAGACATCTTTGTTTCTTTAATAAATAAGAATGTATCATAACCACATGATTATCCCTCCATCATTAGATATGGATAAGCTAAGAGTAAGTTAGCTTTGGATATCAATTATTTGTTTGGTATAGGTTCACGATTGAGTAAACATTTAAAGATTGTTAAAAAGTTAATAGTTTGTCTTCTTGTAATTTTGTAATCCATTTAAATTTTATCTATATTTACATTTTTCATAAAATATCTATCTTTTAAATTTGTTTTTAATGGAAATGGATTGCTAATTTATGATATTTCAATATTTTGACTTGAAGGTATAAATAGATTAGAACATACTACTTGTTCTTAAATTTATTATTATAAATCTTCAGGATTGATAATATTTTCTTATAATATTTATTTTTCAATTGATTATCTTGTTCTAGTTTTAATAGGTAATCTAATTAATTTATTTGATTTTTATGAATATATTGATTTGCTATTCATTTCTTTATTCAATTGTTCAAAGATCTACACTTTAGTTTTCTATTTTTCAGTGTCCAACATAGCAAATGCAGTATCAATTTCATGATCATCCAAATCAATTTTTGGTTATATGTTTTATATGTAAGGTAATTTATTAATTTACATGGTAAAATATTATTTTATTATGCTATTGTTACTAAAAAAATAATCAAAGATTTAAGAAGAATTTTATAATTTTTAGATATCATTATAGAGTGATTCGAGTAAGTTCATTTAAAAGGAACCATGAAATTAATTATAATGAGCTATCATATTCCAGAAATCAAAACTGTTATTTATATAAAATACTTTCTAATTTGGCAAGTGAAAATTTTTAATTTAAGTACCATCTAAAGTCCAAATTTTTGGAGTAGATTTTAAACTTAAAAGAGTTTTAAGATGCATACATTATTCAATAAAATCAGAAATGAGCTCAATTTCATTGTCAATTTTTTAATACAGTGGAATGTAATACTTAAATACTTTGAAATTGTTAATAATGAAAACTTCTTAAAAACCTTATTTCTTATTAATTCCCTTATCAATTATTTTATGTCTAACATATTTGATCAATCTCTCTGATTTCCATTAGTCTTAATAGGATAATTAATGAAAATAATTTTATTTATTTGATTCTGTTACTTATCTTCTTGGTGTATGAAATAGAGTAGGTGAATTTCCAATACTATTTTATTCAACTTAGAATGATGTAGCCATTTTCAAACGAGGAACACTATTAAATCTTTTATTCATTAATAAAATAATTAATATATATATATTATATTGATAAAAATAGAGAATTATTATCATAATTAGAAACCAATAAATGTAGTAAATATTATAATTTTTATTATATATATATATATATTATTATTGTAAAAAAAAGTATTTCATAAAAGAATATTATTTATATCATTATAATATAGATCATATTTAATCAATGTTAGTCTTGTTAAAGAATAGATTTTCTTTTAGAATTGTCTTCAACGATTTATTTGACTTGACTCTTCTTTCTTAGTTAATCTCTTTTAACAAATTCATCTACTTTACGAAATTATACCCAAGCTTTACCTTCCATTAAATTGTCCAACTAAATCTTTAAATGATTGAATGTACCTCTTCAAAAATTTCTTTATCAGAATATCCACTCTTTTTGACTATTTCCCAGAAGGCCATCCATTCATCTTCTGTAATCTAACCACTTTTATCAAAATCTACTGCATTAAATAATGCTTGAGTATTCACTTTTGCAAAATTAGTTTTCCAAAACTTTTAAGTTTCATCCTTATCAATAGAACCAGAATTATTGACATCAATTTTTTTGAAAATCTCTAAAGCTTTTTATCTTAATTAAGGTGATAAACCTTATGATTATTTTTAAGCTCCACAACCCATTATATATATATATAATTAATTAAGTAATGGAATTCCTTGCAATTCTTAC